GAGGAGCAACGCCCCCGAAGCAAAAATGCAGAATGCATTAGAAGTTGCTTGTCCACTCAAGCGGTCGTTTATGCGCTCGAGCAGAGAATGTTTGGTTCTAGAAGTTTGACCTATCTGCAAAAGTACTGGGAAAATGTATTTGATGCTCGAGCGGGGCTTTCCACGCTCGAGCGAACCATGTTATATCAGTTCGTGAATCTGATATTTCAAATCACTTTTGTATATCTCTCTCTCTAAAAACCCTTTCCTCTCCCTTCTCTCTACATTTCCCTACGCCAAATTGGATCGAAACCTTGATTTCTCAAGATCCATTAGAGTTCTGCCATAGGTTCTTGATCAAAGTTGGTTAACTTCTCGAGGGCTTCGTTATGTGCGATGAAGATCGAGTTTCGACACCGTTGATTTTGGGAGTTTCATCTCATTTCTTCTTCAAAACTTGAGGTAGGGATTTTCTTAGAGTTATATATATATTTTTTGCAAGATCTATATGATTTTCAAAATCATCTTTCGATAGCTTTGAAAATTGATTGTTGATTCAAGAAGTTGAATGATTTTGAAAGTGGATTTGTCTTTTGTTCTTTTAAAATGATCTTATGGGTTTTGATCTTCGTTGATTAAAGAAAAGATGATTTTAGAAAGTTTTCTTTCAAAAGATTTGCGTTGTATAGTTTTGGTGAGAAAACCTAGAATTTGGAAATTTTTTTAAAAGGAGACTGAAAATCCATGAATGATGTTGTTATATTTATTTTGTGTGTCAAAATAAATTGATGTTTGAAAAACTTCTTATTTATATTTATATAAATGATGAATTTCAGGGAATATGAGAATTATTGTTCATTTTGAAAATTATTGTTCAAAACGTTGAAATAGTCTTGAAATAACTAATTCTTGAGGGTACTTGAGAAGAGGGAATTATGTTATTCCTTGGATGATGAATTGGAATAAAAGTATTTATATTCATCTTGTGAAATTGACATGTCAATTCATTTGATTACATTAAACTTTGAAAGTTGATTTGAAAACTTGTATTGAGAAAAGAATGTTGAGAAAAAAGTTTTCATGGAATGGTTTTGGGATAAATACGTTGGTAAGTCTTGATAGGTGGTGTAGATGATATTGACTAAGTTGGTCTGAGAGTCCGTAGTGAAAGACCGAAAACCGGCGCAGATAGGTGTCGAGCCTTCCGGTTAATACCGGTAAAAATGACAATTTGGTAATACTTGTATAGTCTACTTGCAGACATCGACCTAGGGATTACCAAAGTCGTATTTACCGCCCTTGAAATAAATTGTTTAGTTTTGAACAATTGAAATTGCATGATATCATTGAGCATGATGGTTTTCAAAAGATAAAAATGTGATTTATCTTCAAAAAGGGCATATCATGGTATGTGTATTTCATCTCTTGAGACTTGTATAAAATGTATATATTTTGTTAAGAATTTCCTACTGGGCTTTATGCTCACCCTACGGGATTTTTGTGCAGGAAAAGATTTGGAGATCCCATCCAACTAGGGGCGTGGAAGTATGTGTGTTGGGAGTACAATACGCTCATTTTGCTGTGACTCTATGTGTAAGGTGTCACGACCCCATTCCGCCCCTAGTAGAATGGTGTCGTGATGGCCAGTAATCCGAGATTACCAAAGGCCAACTTACAAAGATTCACACACTAATAAAGTATACATATGGGGCCTACATGTGCGGAAGCAATATATATAAATCTAAGTAGTCCATAAGAGCAGTGCATAGATCAAATGAAATGACATACATCTTTACATAGCTTTACAACTTGGGTACAAATAAAATAAAGTACAAATATTACATCTTGATCAAAAGGCTTCTCAAGTCAACATAACAAGATACATGAACTACAACTCAAGAAGCTTAGTCTTTAAGTTTTGCTGGCATAACAAGGATCAAACATCATCTAGCAAAACACATCTCGGCGTCATCGCCTTCTTGGTTGTTACCTACATATATATAAGGAGAGGGTGAGCTTGAATACTCAGTGAATGGTATAAGTAATAAAGGGGTTAAATGAATGATTCCCGAGGTCCTTGTCAAAACAATACATAACATAGCTTGTACAAAACATACTTGGCAGAGATCAGCCATCCGTTCATAGACCGTCGATGGCCGAGATCTCACAAACTTGGTGCTACTTGGGCTTAAAGTCCCCTAGCATGGGTGGACTTGTGCTGCAAATGCTTATAGTCCCCCAGCATGTACGGACTTCCATGGATTGTGCTACAAATGCTTATAGTCTCCTAGCACGTACGGACTAGTGCCACAAATGCTTAAAGTCCCCTAGCACGTACGAACTTCCATGGATTGTGCTACAAATGCTTATAGTCCGCTAGCACGTACGGACTAGTGCCACACATGCTTAAAGTCCCCTGGCACGTATGGACTTGTGCTACAAAGGTTTAGAGTCCCCTAGCATGTACGGACTTCCAAGAATGTCATTCAAAACAAGGCTAATACTTGATACACAAAATATGGATAATCATTCATACTTAACAAATACTTTTTCAAAACAAAGCAAAGCAAGGCTTATCAAAACATGATAACATAGCTTTATTAAAAATACCACTCACATAGTTCTTGGGACGTCGTAATCAAAGCAAAGGTCCAAGTCCTACAAACACATGGCAAAGTCTATTGAATGTACTTCTCAAAACAAGTCTTACATGCATGCAAACGACCTCGGCGGTCCTTCAAACTAAGTCAAGACAAGGCAAAACATGCTAAAGTGAAACACTATTTTACATGTCGGGAAGACATGGTGGGTACCAACTAGGTCTTTGCCGAGGTCCCATACCTCCTTGCCGAGGTGTGGTCCCGGTGGCCACATTCATGGAAATGAAGTCGGGAAAATCTTGGTTTCCCTCTTGATGAACATGAAAAACATGAAGAACATAAAGAACATGGATGCTAAAATCATAACTTGTTCATACAAAATCTAGGATTTCATGCTATAAGTTCGAAAACATGGACCTGGGTACCCATACTTGAAGATCTTGGGAAAACAAACACAAAAACATGGATCTTAATGCAAGCTTTCGGATCAAATCATGACTTTTCTTCAAGAACACATGAATATCATATTCTCTTTCTAAAACCGAACTTCAAAGCAATGCATGGCTTTCAAAGCATGCTCGATCATGTAATGCGGCTAGATGAGCAATAAGAATAGCAAGATCAGATCAAGAATCTAACCTCAAGGCATGGATCTAACGGCTCAAGGTGTGAAGATCAAGCTTGGAATCTACTTCTCTCTCTAAGAACTTCTTCTCCCCTCTTCCTAGAGCTTTTCTCTCTTCAAAAGCAAAGATATGGAAATGATATGGTTTCTCTCTCTGCCGGCTGATTTAACATTCAGCTCGGACACGTGGCACTACCGAGTTGGTTCTCCTCAAAGGGTGATTGAAAGACAAGACATGTGTAAGACAAAGTGTATTTAACAAGCTAGGTAGCAAGGGCACTCCGGCTTTCAAAGGCATCTGCTAATGACAAGGCATCGGCAAGTAAGGGAACAATGATCTCGGCTAGGAAGGACAACACTTGGCCTAGCTATGCCACACCTCGGCCTAGATGTGCCACACCTCGGTCTAGGTCATACCAATCCAGGAACAAGATCACTAAGGCGCAAAGGTAACATCTCGGCCTAGATAATACACATCTCGGCCTTGGTGATACACACCTCGGCCTAGATAATGACATCTCGGCCAATATGCCAGGACGAAGGTGGAGGTCAACCAAAGTGGTTCCAAGATAGTTCTAGGCTTAAGGTGACCTCAGCTAAGAATAACCTAGGCTTAACATGACTTAGACTTGGCATGACTTAGGCTTGAGACAGTAAGGAAGGAACAAAACATGCAACACACTTATGTAAAACAAGGCAAGATTGGCAATGTAACTTAACATGGCAAAACATATAAATGCATGCAAGCATGACTAAGGCATGAATGTGGGTTGTTACATAAGGTAAGGGCTATGTTTGTGTGGGTTTAAATAACCGTTTTGTGTAACCAGGCTTAAGCCGTGGAAACTTATAAACCCTTGGGGGTATTTATTGTTTATTTACTTGTTGTTGGATTAATGTATTGTTGCATGAAGAACTATTGTATCATGTAATGTAAGTTTGGAGATTTATATTTAGTTTTCCTTGAAAGAACCATGATTGTTGTATTATCATTTGGGCTAGAAATTTGGCGCCTTACAAAAAGAGTGGGTCAAAATAATGTGGCCTCTCCATCGGCCCCAAATATAATGGGGGCTTTGGCCAAGAGATGGCAGGGGCTCTTAGAGAGTCCATGGACATATTGAGAGCCGAACAAGCAGTTAGGACCGTAGAAGGAGAGACCAGAATACTTTCCTGAAGAAGGAATTCTTTCGTTCAAACCCTTCCGAGTTTAGTGGCGTGCCCGACCGTATGAAAGCAGATGAGTGGTTAGAGCAGATTGTTAAATCTTTTGAGAGCTTGGACATTCATGAGAGTGAGCCTCGGGCGGCATTGGCGGCCTATCAATTAAAATGAGAGGCCAGGTAGTGGTAAAAGTATGCCAAGAGCTAAATTAAGCACACATGAGAGGCATTTATACACACTTTTCAAGAGAAATTCCTCCATCCCACTGCTAGGGAATGGTTGAGGAGGCAGTTGGAGGAGTTGTTACAGCTCGACACACCTATGGCTGAGTTTGAACCCACTTTCACCAGTCTTTCCCATTTTGCACATGAGCTTGTGACAACAGAAGAGCACTAATGTTTAGAATTTTAGAAGAGATTGAGGCCAAAAATCTTAATGAAGGTGGTAGGTAATATGATTCACGATTATGATCGGTTAGTGAAGGCCACAACACATGTGGAAATCATGGTAGAGGCAAAGGAGGCAAGACAAAAGTTGAAGAGGACGGGATACTTGGAATCTCGGGGTGATTCAGGATCCTTCAAGAAGTCTAGGGGTTCATCACCATCATTTCAGTCACCACCACAACAGACCAAGTCTTCGGGTTCTGTGATGGGTAGAAGTTCAGGGAACACAGGATAAACCCGTGGTGCGTGTTATCGATGTAGCCAGCTGGGTCACAAAGCTTTGGAGTGTGGACAAAAGGGTGGGCCACAGTCTCCGTTTGCTCGTTCTTTAAGCCAACCTCAGAATAGTGGTCAGGCTCCATCGTGTTATCAGTATGGTTAGCCAGGGCATTTGAAGAAGTTTTGTCCACAGAGAGCAGGGTCAGCCAGTATGTTAGGATCTCGCCAATCAGGAGGTTTTCAGATGGGTCAGGGCTAGAGACAACCTCATCAGCTGGTCCAGTCGGGTTAGGCATCCAGGGCAATACACGTGGCCACATCTGCACAATCTGTGCAGTAGGCCTATGTTTCAAGACACGACCTAGGAGAGCGAAGACCACAAGGAAGGGTATATGTTGTCACCGCATCAAAGCAGTCTTTAGGACCATCCGTTATGAAAGATACATATCTTATTTTCAATACTTGGGCCAGTGTGTTAATAGATACTGGTGCAACTCACTCATTCATAGCATCTACATTTACATCCATGTTGGGTTTTGAAAGTAAGCAACTAAAGTCTCCGCTTATGGTAGAGTCACCCGGTGGGGGTAAGACTGTCTTGAATCAAGGATATCGCGAGTGTGTAATTGAGGTCACTGGTCATTGACTTCCATTCAGTTTTGAGTTATTAGATATGTTTGGATTTGATGTCATCCTCGGCATGGATTGGTTATCCTCCTACCGTGCCATCATAGACTACTATCGTAGAAAAGTCACTATGTGTACATCGGGTGGTGATTGTTTATCTTTCTTGGGAAATAGAACCGATAGATTGTTACCGCCATTGTATGACCCACGTGGTCGAGGCGAACTTATCTCTCTCCTAGCAACTTTCTTAGATGATGAGAGTGGTAGGGTTCAAGATGTGTTTCTAGAGTGGTTTGTGAGTACTCAGATGTCTTTTTTGAATATCTCATTGAATTACCGCCTCACTATGAGGTTGAGTTTTCCATAGACTTAGTGCCGAGAACAACATTTATCTCCATGTCACCATATAGATTTGCACCAGCTGAGTTGGTTGTCCTGAAGGAACAATTACAACAGTTGCTAGCTAAGGGTTTCATATGCCTCAACACTTCACCGTGGGGAGCTCCGACTCTTTTTGCTAAAAAAGAAAGATGGTTCATTGAGATTGTATATAGATTATTGCATATTGAATCGAGTTACGGTCAAGAATAAGTATCCATTGCCTAGAATAGATGACCTTTTTGATTAACTTAAAGGTTCACGCTATTTTTTGACGATAGATCTGAGGTCAGGTTACCAAAGATATTCCTAAGACGACCTTTCGTAACTAAGGGTCATGGATGAGGATATTCCTAAGATATTCCTAACTACGGGTCAGGGATGAGGATATTCCTAAGACGATCTTTCGTACTAGATATGGTCATTATGAGTTCATAGTCATGCCTTTTGGGTTGACCAATGCACCTACTACATTCATGGACTTGATGAATCGAATCTTCCGAGAGTTTCTCGACAAATTTGTAGTTGTCTTTGTAAACGACATTCTCATCTACTGGCCTTCCAAGGAGGAGCACTAAAGGCACCTCCGCATTGTCCTACAACTCCTTAGAGAGCATCGCCTGTATGCGAAGTTTGAAAAGTGTGAGTTTTGGCTCTCAGAAGTGAAATTTTTGGGGCATGTAGTTCGGGGATGGAGTTACAATGGATTCTTCCAAAATTAAGGCTGTATAGAATTGGGATCAACCTAAAAACGCATTTCAAATTCGTAGTTTCCAAGATCTAGCTGGTTACTACCGTCACTTTGTAAGGAATTTCTCTTCTATAGCATCACCTTTGACTAGATTGACTCGTAAGGGGGTGAAATTCGTTTGGAGTGAAGCTTGTGAGAAATCCTTTCAGGAACTAAAGCTTAGGTTAACTATCGCTCCTATTCTCATTATACCAGAACGTGAATTGGGATATACGATGTATTGTGATACTTCTAAGGAAGGGTTGTGGTGTGTTTTGATGCAAAAGGGCAGGGTAGTAGCATATAGTTCTCGACAATTAACGACTCATGAGAGAAATTACTCGACACATGACCTATAGCTTGCTGCTGTCATATTTGCTTTGAAACTTTGAAGACATTATTTATATAGTGAGAAATTTGAAGTATTCTCCAATCATAAGAGTCTAAAGTATCTATTTTCTCAAAAAGATTTGAACTTGTTTCAACAGAGATTGATGGAGTTTATGGAGGTTTACGACTTTGAATTACACTATCATTCCAGGAAGGCCAACATAGTGGCTGATGCCTTGAGTAGAAAATCCATAAGTGCCATGACTAGTCTCGAAGTGAGGGAATGAGAGATGATGAGGGATATTAGTGAGTTTGACTTGCAACTTCGCGAGTCCTCTGAGTAGGCTACACTATTCACCACTATCTCACAACCAATGCTTGTTACACGAGTAGTGGAAGCACAACAGGGTGACCCAGAAGTGAAGACTATTCGAGAGAGAATCTCCAAATGAATGGAAAAGAAGGATCTAAATGTTTATGCTGATGCGAGTGTCCGTTATTTTGACCGGTTGTCTATGCTTGAGACTATTAGAGATGAAGTTCTTCAGGAATTCCACCACTCTCACCTTGCAGTGCATCCCGGAGGCACAAAAATATAATATAACCTTAGTTGTCAGTTTTAGTGGAAGGGTATGAAGAAGGATGCAGCCTTGTTTGTGTCTAAGTGCCTAACTTGTCAGTAAGTCAAAGCCGAACATCAAAAACCCACGGGATTATTACAACCTCTACTAATTGTGGAAGTGGGAACATGTCAACATGGACTTCATTACGGGTCTTCCTAGAACCCAAAAGGGTAATGATGCGGTATGGGTGATTGTAGATCGACTCACCAAATCAGCCCATTTTCTTTCCATGAGAGAGGGGGATTCTGTTGAATATTTAGTTGAACTTTATATTTGTGAAATCATTTGACTCCACAAAGTTCCTGTGAGCATAGTGTCTGATGGAGATCCCTATTTCACTACTAAATTGTGGCAGAGTCTTCAAAGTGCTTTAGATACTCAACTTAATTTTAGTACCGTCTACCATCCTCAGACCGATGGGCAATCTGAGTACACCATACAAATCCTAGAAGATATGCTAAGAGCGTGCATGTTAGACTTCAAACGGTCTTGAGAGAAACATTTACCTTTAGTTGAGTTTGCTCACAACAATAGCTACCAAGCTAGCGTTGAGATGACACATTTCGAAGCTTTGTATGGGTGTCCTTGCAGTTCATCGGTTTGTTGGGCTGAGATAGGGGATTCACCTATGCTTGGGCCCAAGTTAGTTCGTGAGACCATCAAGAAGGTAGCTCTCATTCGGAAGAGATTAGTCATGGCTCAAACGGTCAGAAAAGTTATGTTGATCGGAGGCAGAGACCGTTGTCCTTTGAAGTAGGAGACCATGTATTTCTAAAGATCTCACCTAGGAGGGGATTGATGAGGTTTGGTAGAAGCAGGAAATTATCTCCCTGATTTATCGATCCTTCTGACATTATAGAATGGATAGAAGAAGTTGCATATCATCTTGCCTTACCACCATAATTCTCCAGAGCACATAATGTGTTCCTTATGTCAATGCTTCATAAGTATGAGCCCGATCCTTTCCACGTGTTAGATTAGATGGATATTGAGGTTGACAAGGATGCGTCTTATGAGGAGAGAACGATTCAAATTCTAGATACCCAGGAGCAAGTATTGAGGGGTAAGACCATTTCATTAATCAAAATGTTGTGGCGTCATCATGGTGTTGAGGAAGCGACTTGGGAGCATGAAGCTGAGGTCCGCGAGAAATACTCGAATTTGTTCCAAAATATGTAATGTATCCACATGTATTGCTTTTCCTTTGATATGCGGTAAACCGAGTGTAATCCATATTTTCTCATTCTTTTTCCTTCTTTTGTTACTAGAAATGGTTTGTTCTCTATTTGGGGATTGTTAAGAACCGATGATTATTACATTATTAGCATATCATTGATGTTGTGTTAAGGATTGATGTTATTTTGGGGGAAAATTCCTTAAGGGGGAGAGATTGTGACAATTCATTTCAGGTGACTGCTCGAGCTGTGAAAAGATTGCTCAAGCGGAGTTAAGGTGCTCCTAGTAGTTTTTTTGTAGGTCGAAGGGCCGCTCAAGCAAACAAGTGGTCACTTGAGCAAAGATGAAAGGTTCCCAGTATCTCGTTTTGCAGGCAGAGATATTGAGAGGTTCTATTCACTGCTCGAGCGGTTTGCGCGATTTCAACAACTTAAAAAGTCACTTTTTAGATCATTTCTCTCACTTTTTTCTTTCTCTCTTCTTCCTTCCTCTATAGCTTCTAAAACCCTAGCTTCTTCTCTCTAGAAATCTTTCATTTCTACTTAGATTCACAAATCCATTGCTTGCAAAAGTTGAAATTTAAATTAGGACCAAGCTTTCTTCCGATTGGATTGGGATTTCGTAAAAAGTTCGTTGACTATTTGTAGACACCCCATTTTTGACCGCCCTTAAGACTTAGGCACCTCAAGTTGAACACTCGATGATAAAAAGTTACACTGCATAATTGTTCGAATTCTTCAGCAAAAGGCTTCAGTTTTTGAGCTTCTAATCCCAACCTTACACCCCATTTTGGCCAAACTATTTTTTAAAAATATTTTTCCAAATGTTTCTACGATGTTCCGAGGCTCACATTTTGTTTAAAATATTACACTTTTCGGTAAACTGAGTAAGGACAAAGTGGAAATAGGTGGAAGGGAGGGAAACTCTTTGAAAAATCTTTAAAAACATCTTATTTATTGGTTTGCAGTTGAAAGAAATATGAGGGGTTGGAAGAAAGCTAGTTGGGAAAAAGATTAGGCATCAAACCCTTAAGAAAGAAATGAGCAGCCTTCACTAAATTAGACATATCTCTTTGTACACTTGAAATTTAGATGTGAGGCCACACTATTGTAAATTAGACTTCCGAGGCTTATCGAGTTCGAATGAGGAAAATATGTCCGTTTGAAGTCGGGCTTGAAAATAAATTTTTGTTTACAAGTAGAAAGCCGGCCACTAAGTAGTAGGCCGGCCACCAGCCAGTTAATGAGAATTTTGGCCATTTCAAGTGGCTGAGCGGCCATGTGTCCTGACAGGCTAGTTTTTGGTGGCCGGCCATCCCCTATCTGGCCGGCCGACCAGGTTTCTCGGTAAAACAGATATTTGTTGCTAGCTGTCCCTTCATGTGCATGCACTACACCAACTGGCTTAATACAGATATTTCTGAGATAACAAC